GTGGCTGTTGAAGACGGGCCCCCAGGTTGGCACCGTGAACTGACCGTTTGCCTCGAAAGGCTGCGGCAAACCAGAAGAGGCAGAGGTAACATCACAAGAACCTGCACATTATTTCCCCATCAACAATGGGATTAGAGCAGTTCTTCTGCCCGTATTTTAAACGGTCGTTTGCTTGTTTACTTGCTTTTTAACTGAAGTACAGTTGATTTAAAATGTTGTATTAGTTTCTGGTGTGCACGGAGGGCATTATGTTGAGTGAAATTAGTCAGACCGAAAGACAAATACTGTAAGATATCACATGTGGAATCTAAAAAAACACAGCAAACTAGTGAATATAACAGAAAAGAAACAGACTCACAGATGTGGAGAAGGAACTAGTGGTCACCAGCAGGGAAATGGAGGCGGGGAGGGGCAAGGTGGAGGCGGAGGAGTAAGAGGCACAAACCATCAGGTATAAAATAAGCTACAAGGATGTACTGTACACCATGGGGAACAGAGCCATTTTATAACAACTATAAATGGAGTACAACCTTTAAAAATTGTGAATCACTGTATTGTATACCGTAACATATACTGTTGTACATCAACTATATTTCAATTTAAAAAATGATACTGTAAAATAAATACATAAATGAATAAAGTTTTTAAAAAGGCAAGAAAAGAAGATTTGGTATATCATATACAATGGAATATTACTCAGCCTTAAAAAGAATGAAATAATGCCACTTGCAGCAACATGGATGGACCTAGAGATCATCATACTAAGTGAAGTAAGTCAGCCAGAGGAAGACAGATATTATATGCTATTAGTTGTATGTGGAATCTAAAAAAAGGTACAAATTTTATTTACAAACCAGAAAAAGACTCACAGATATAGAAAACAAACTATGGTTACCAAAGGGGAAGAGAGGGGGAGGATAAGTTAGCAGTTTGGGATTAACAGATACACACTGTCCATATATAAAACAGATAAACAACAAGGACTTATTGTATAGCACAGGGAACTATATTCAACTTCTTATAATGAGCTATAATGGAAAAATCTGAAAATATATATATATATATATATATGTATACAACTGAATCACTTTGCTGTATACTTGAAACTAACATTGTAAATCAACTATAATTCAATAAAAAATAAAATTAAAAAGTAAAAACCAAACAAAAACAAAAAATGGAATTAGAGACATGAGAACAAAAAGAAGTCAGCAGTTGAGAATAAAGCTCTTTTTTTTCCCATCTGAGCCACAGCGTATAAGTTTAGACCCACCATATATACCAGAAACGCCCAAAGCACTAACAAAGGCCCCCAGCCCTCACCGAAAGCCCACATCCTGGGCAGGCCAGAGATCCGGGCAACCCCTGCCCCGCCCCCAGCCCCTGCCCTGCCAGGGGGTCACGAACCTGGAAGTTCCCGTTGTGCACATTGTAGAGAGGCTGGAAGAACGGCCCCGGGGAGGGCACGTCCCGGTACAAGGTTGTCTTCATCCTGAGGCCAAGAGAGGACAGTCAGAGGCCTACAGAGACTGGGGGGCTCCTACCCAGGCCCAACTCCAGGAGGCCCGAGGTCACTGCAGGGAACCTTGCTCCCCCCAACCTCATCTGTGCTGCTGCCACACACCCCCCTCTCACTGGGTCCAGACCTTACGCCTGGCACCTGCGGTCTCCCTGGCTAATGACCCCGTGGAACTGGCTTCTACCAAGACACATGTCTTTTCAAGGTGAGCTGTGATGGTGGGTTCCGGGGTGGGGGAGACCAGCTGTGTCCTCAAGTCACAGAGGAAACCGGCAACCTCCAGGAACCCCACTGTGCAGTAAGCAGACAGCTGCCTGCCCCGCCCGACTTCCCCCGAGCACCTGCTCCGCCTGCCCAGGACCCACTGGTCTTCCCATGAGGACAGTGCACGAGGCTCCAACGTAGTAGGTCCAAGTCGACCTCCCCAACCTGCCCTGAGCCTGGCCCACCTCAGGGGTGACATCAGGGGCCACCAGTCACATCTCATCCAGTCACACATCCCATCAGTTTCTCTTCCTAAGACTCTGGCAGTTACCTCCCTTGCTCCGTCTCCACTTCTCTCGCGAGCTCACACATGATCACCCCTCTCTGGACACTACCACTGGCCTCCCAAAAGCTCCTGCTCGACCACGTACACCACCAAAATCCATTCTCAAAACATGAAACAGTTCACATCACACACTGACATGCTTCAAGTGCTGTCCTTCGATCCAAGGACATGCCTGACATCCTCCTGGACGTGCTGGCCCGCCCAGCTGGCTCTGCCCAGCACCTCCTCTCTCACCTGCCCCTGCTCTTTGTCTGACCCCCTCATTCTCTCTGTTACCTGTCTGCACCTGACCGATCTTCTCTGGGACCCCCTCCTTGATGATGCCGCCCCCCCAATACCTGCTCTTGTAACCTGACATGTGTGATCGCCAATTTCAGGAGGGACTTTGTGTCCATCTGGTTCTTGGTGGCATCCATCAGGGCTGGGAACAGGGTCCCGTGAAAACCAGATGCCCTGCACTGTGCTTTCATGGAACATGTTAACTAATGAGTGAACACCAAGCACCTCCAGAGGCAGGAGACAAGAACCTCAGGCGACTTGGCCCCAGTGCCTTGGGTCCAGGGCTCTCTTGGGCCAGACTGCCCCCCACACGCACCTGGCAACTTGGGAACTCCCCGCGTCCAGGGCAGGGGCTTGACTACCCAACCCCATCCAGGACTGTGCGGGGAGGGGTTGTGGGTTTGGCCCTCAGTGCCCTGCCTACCACACACACTCACACGCACTCACACTGACACACACTGACACGTACGATAACACATTCATGCCCAGGCACATCCTCCCACATACACCCCTGGCTACCGACCTGGGTGAAAGCTTGAAGAGCAGGTAGGTCAGGCTGGTCAGCAGCAGGAAGATGCACACAACAACGAGGGTGCTGTCAGGCTGCCCCAAAGCTGGGGTCGGGGGACCTGTGAGCAGGAACAGCCCGGGGCTGTGTTCCTCCAAACCCGTGAGGCAAAGGCACCCGTACGAGTGGTGTATGACAGGCCTTGAAGGTTTGTGTCGCTTGCTAAAGCACCTTGGGTGAACCATGCACCCAGGGCCTCACCCTTCCCATCTGCAAGGTCAGTGAGCCTTCCTAGTACCTAGGGCACCAGGTCAGCCCAGCTCCCACTAAGTAAACGAGGCCACATCCAGGCTCCAGAGACAGAAGCACCAGGCCTGGCGGACAGCCCCTGGGCTGCACTTGCTCCCAGCAACAGCCACCAGCAGCAGGCTCCTGGGAAGGTGTGGCAGGTGATTCCTCTCTGCACGCCTCAGGGCATCTCTGGGTCATGACTGTCTCAGGGAGGGGTTCCAGGAGGGTGAAAGGGCGGGACCAGCAGGGGAGGGAGGGCCAACCTGGACCCCCAAAGGGCAGCAGTGTGGAAGTGCCCACCTCGTCTCTGGGGAGAGGGGAAGCACACGGGCTGGCTCCATTCGCTCCACTGGCCCTCATAACGCTCTTCCTCCACCACCTCGCCCTCCGCGGTGGCCATCTGGACACGCAGCCTGGCCTCATAGGTGGAACCAGGGTCCAACTCGACGGCTTCCAGGTCAAGCCGGGTCACCCCGACAATGTGACCCTTGTGCTGAGCCCGCTGTGGGGTTGAGGACAATTAGGAGATGCCGAGGGTGAGACTGGGTCCATCAGCCCTTGAGAACAGGTACACCCATGTGTGTGGGCATACTTACACACGCCCACAGGCACACGCTTATATTCATCAAGCCGCATGCACACTCACACTGAGCACACACAAACACGCTCACCACACTCTACACGCATACATTCATCATGGAGGCACACCCTGGGAACGCTCACACATACATTAACGCACACGCAGGCACACTCATGCACAGACACACCCGTGTGCACACACACATGCACAGTCACACTCGCCACACTTGCACTCACATCTCCTTGGCTCTGGTCACCTTCCCTCCTCATAGTTCCAAGTTGACATCACCCTAGGTGGGATGAGGAGCGGCCCTGGGCCACTGCTCCCGGGAGAGAGAGGCCCCCAGGGTAGCAGGACCAACTGTTACCTCCCAGGCCTCTTCCTGCCTCTTGAAGGCCAGCTCGTAGCTAAGGAGCGAGGTCAGCGGCTCCAAGGCAGGACTGATGCTCCAAGTCAGGACACAGTGGTCAGAGCTGACATTGCTCTGCAAGTCAGAGGGAGGATCCAGCTTCACTGGAATGGAATGAAGCCACAAGAGGGTGTGTCAGTCAGCACGACCAGGACGAGGGATCTGAGAGATTCCCAGGGGGAGGGGCAGGAAGAGGCATGGTCCAGGCCCTCTCAGAACAGGGGCCTCGCTGGGAGACTGGTCCTGAGAAGACCCAGGGGGTACATGACAGCAATGACTCTCCTCCAGCCCCTGCAGCCAGACAAGAGGAGTTTCAAATCTCGCCTTCCCTTTCTTTCATAAGCCGCTGCTGGAAGTGCTTCCTAGTGTCTTACTGAAGTCCTTCTTGCTATGATCAAAGTACATTTCAAGTGACTCAAACTGCAGCCCCTGCCAACTCAAAGCCCTGCACCTTCATCCTCCTCCAAAACCCTACCCCTCTAGCAACCTGTGGGCCCTCCCCTACTAGGGGCCTACCCTGCTCCTGACCCTGGAGCCAAGAGCACTCACTGGGCCATGGGCAGCGTGGGCTGCAGACTCATGTAGCCAGGATGTTGGCAGCCAAGGCACCCCACCCCAGGCCTCACCATGTCTCCGGGGCAGGTACTGTGGGTCCACCAGGCTGACCTGCTCCTTCCCAGAGATGTGACGGTGGAAAGTGATGCTGAAGTTGTCAGAAGGCACGAGCACCTCCTCAGGGGGCAGCAGCACAGTGCACACACTGGCCCGGAAGACACACCTGTGCTTGCTGCCTGGCACGTGGTTGCTGGAAAGGGCGTGTGTTGGCACCAAGGGGCCACTGAACCAGCCTGGCCCCTGCTGCTGCTTCCATCACCGGGACCCTCCCCTCATCCCTGCCCTCCCACCTCACCTGGTGAAGAGGAGCCAGGGCTCGGCAGCCTGGCCCAGCTCTGGGGCAGACCAGCGGCAGTCAATCCTGAGGATGTTGTTGGAGTGACAGGTGAAAGTTCCAGCCCCCAGCCCTGGGAACAGTGATGCAGGGAACCCACAGTGGATGCTTCAGGGCAGGGCTAGGGGAGGGGAGAGCCTGGCAGCTAACATCCTCTGACAGGGTGGTCCCCAGAGAATGAGCCCAGGGGAGTTTATCCAGGGCAAGGCTGGGAGACCTGGACGGAGATGGGCTCTGACCCGTAGGATGGGGTGGGCTGAAGTCCCAGCCGACCTCAGGAAGACAGGTCCCAGTGCAGCTCAGACCATTCCTCAGGGGATTTGACAGAGGACAACCCTGCCCCACAGCTCTCCACTCACAGGCCTCACAGACACAGCTCCAGCCCTCACCTCCTCCTTCCCCTGGGACAGACCCTCCCGGGCCGACCCAGGCACAGATGCAGGTGCAGATCAGCAGCCAGGTGCCCATCTCTTGCATCAGGGCCTTGCTCTCGAGGGTCCAATCTGTAAGGGGCTGGGCTGAAGGGCTCTGTGTGAGGAGTGCCCCCCATGGGACCCTCCCCATGAGACACTTTCTGCAAGAATTGCACCCGAGCAGGTGCTCTGAGTGGGTCACCACCTACACCCTCACCCTGTCCTGTGAAGGAGGTTGGGCGCCAGTGTCCAAGCTGCACCGATGAGAAACTGAAGCTCAGACTCAGGGGCCTCAAATTTAGGTCTCCTGAGGTTTCTGGGCTCTGAATCAGCCATGTGTCCAACTTTGCCCCCTGCAAGCCCAGATCCCATCCCTGTCCCTGGGCCCTGGCCACACCCTGCAGGGGAGGCAGGGTTGAGGGAACAGGTTCACCAACAACAACGAACCACGGGCACGATCTGTCGGGCTCTGATGTCATACCTGTGCCGACCGTGCCGTGCGCATTATGCACCTGAGTCCCCACAACAGCTGGGGGAGGTGGAGAGACTGCCCCTGTTCACAGACAAGGGCGCTACCAGGGCCACACAGCTACCTTCTCGTGTCCTCTCTCCCTCTTGTCTCCTTAAACAAAGACCTATCCCAGTGTTCCGCCTCAGGGACGTGGAGGAGGGGGGCAGTGGGGTATCCATGCAACAGTCCATGCAACTGTCACACCCCTGTCCCAAGGTGCCCTGCAAGGCTCTCAGTGCAGGAGTACCAGCCCCAAGGTCCCTGGGGGAGCCAGAGGTTAGCTGGAGACGGGGCTGGGGTGGAGGGTGGGGTGGTTAGGAAGCGCCTGAGTGTGAGGAGGCTGCTGACGTCCTATCACCCATTAGCAGCTCCAGATGGTGCACCGATAGCTCCTCAGCAGGAAGCAGGGCCAGCCCGGTTATGCAAGCCTGATGGGTGATAAGGAAGCAAAAGAGCAACAGACGTGCACAGACCACAGCACGTAAGCCCTCAAGGAGCCCGTACACACTCCCCAGGTGGTAGACACAACTCCAACCCCAGCGCCGCTCCCAGAAGCCTGGCTGGATACCCAGAGACAGACTCCCATTAAGATCAACAGGCAGGAAGACCTCATCCTTCCCTAGAATGAAGCTGTGGCGAGTTTACCCGCCATGGCAGTTACTGGATGGAGAAGGGCAGCCTGGTAACAGCTCACTCCGGGGGTGTGAGGGCAGCATTAGAGAGGGTACCAGGATCTGGGGGAAGCTCGGACGCAGCAGCCACTTCCCGGCTAAGAGCGGACCCAGGCGGCACAGTGGATGGTCACTGCCCCAGTGCTGGAGGGACCCTGCCTCTGTGCAGAACGGGGCCAGCACAGACAGAGGCTGACTCGACACATAGGCAGATGGCTCAAGAGCGTGGAGTAGGGTGGCCCCAGGAGCAGGCGTGGGGAGGACAGGACCCACACAGGACACCTCAGAGGTATGGAGGAACAGGCCCAGACCCACACATGGGCAGGGCTATGTGGCAACATGGCCATCTATGGTGTTGGTCCCTGCTCTTCCTCTGCAGAGAACACTTCCATCTCAACCTAGCGAGCAGGGCAGGGAGGGGCCCCCACTCTCCTACAGATGAGGAAGCCGAGGCTCAGAGAGACCAGAGACTTGGCATAATTGGCAGCTGTCACCTCTGTTCTGGGCACACATCCCACCAACTCCCACATAAGCCTGTGAGCAACCCCCTCCCCAGGGCATTGGTCTCTCTCCTCAGGGCTCCGCGAGCAGGAGGAGGGACGTTACTGAGGCAAGACCAACTCACCCTGGACAACAGACACGGGGCCAGGTGGAGCAGACAGCCCCAGCTGCACACCCCCTGGTTCTGGCAGAGGCACTCAGATGTCACAGGGAGCCCTCATCACAGCTCAGACACGACCAGATCACAGGATGGCTGTGCAAGCAGGAGGACGGGACCCAGCCTCTGGCCCCCAGGTCAGAACCGCCCCCTCACACCTCCAGTTCTGCTGGGGAGTGCGGCTGACATCCCCACACAGCACCGTTCCTTTCCCACCAGGCCTGAGGATGAGGCCTTCAGCACATTGCCACTCTGGTCCCTTCTCACAACCACATCTCCTCCCTAGCCTCTGGGTCAAGGTCTGGCCCAGGTGACCACTGGGCCTCATAGCTTTCCTGGCCCACCATAAAGTCATGGGCTGCCTTGTAGCCTGACCCCTGCCTTGGGACCCACAGACACTGCCGGACCCAGGGTGAGGTCTCCAGACAGACTTAGCCCCTCACCCCCCACCCCTCCGCGCTCATACCTGCTGCCAGGCATAGCACCTGGCCCGAGCAGGCCTCTGTCCCGGGCTCCCTGCGCACTACAGCAGAGCCTCCGAATCGGCCTCATGCCGATTACTGCATCCACTCTCTGTGCCCCTCCACACAGAGTCTACTTTATAGTTTGTAAAGGTAAGGGAGTGGTACCCCCGCTATTCTCCCTACCCACCCAACAGAGGTGGACAGCAAAGAGGCTGCTATTTAAATAGACACTCATCGAGCACTACCCTCTCTGCTGGGGGAGGAGGAAGAAATTCAGACCCTGGTTCCCCAGAAGCAGCTGGAACCTGGGGGAGATGGGGACTGTGCCAAGAAACAAGGTTGGAAGTGGGAGCAGGTGCCACCTCCCACAGTGGACCACTCAGGCGCCCATGGGCAACCCCTGGCCCTGTGGGCAGAAAGCGCTTCCCAGGTGGTGCAGACCAGGGGTGGGGCAGGGAGCAGGAGAGGTCAAGGCCGGAAGGCCAGTGGAGGGTGAGTGCAGATAAGGTACAGAGAGAGCAGAAGAGAGAGGCAGCACCAAGGAGCACTTTCATCTGCGTCCTGGGAGCACTGAGCAGGAGGGGCACCTGCATCTGCAGGACGCCAGGCTAGACTGAGGGGAGAAGAAAGGGCCAAACCCCAGGGGGCCTCAGGACAAGGGCAGAGATGGACAGGGGCCCAGGGCAGAGGGAGAAAGAGGGCTAAGGACGGATGTCAGAGGAGCACAGAGGGGGACAGGGGGCCTCAGGGTGAGGTCTCACACTGTCCCCTCTGCCCAGCTGCCTTCTGCATCATGCACCTTCATGAAGACCCCCTGAGTCCCCCAGTCTGTCTGGACACCCCTGAGCCAGGCCCAGCCAGCTGACAGGAGCCAGGACACGGATAGTGGCGTCGGGCAAGGGCTGGAGTCAGGACACTGACACTGCTCTCCTAGGCAGCCTGGCGGTTAAGCGGAGGGAAATGATGCCCCTGCTCCCACACCTGCCGAGTGGCCTCCTCTGCCAGCCACTCTCCCTGGCAGCCTTCCCTGCCCTAAGCAGCCCTGGCAGGGAAACTCAGTGCTGTGCCATCTCCTGCATCAGGCTCCTCCAGGGCAAGAACTTGTCTGGTCTATGTTACGTCCCCTGCATCCAGCACCCCATCCCGAGCCTGCCCACAGACCTGCCATCACTTTGAGACGGCGTTAATGCCTTCTCTGGAGAGGGCTCTGAAACATTATTTGAGCCCGAACCCTCTCCTCTCCTCCCTCTGCTTGGCTGAGTTGACCCTCCTGGAATCCTACCCTCACCTGTTGCCCTGCCCACAGCTCCAAAGGGGGATCCACAGACTCGTGGCTCCTCTTCTGCCCTAAAGCCCCCACAAAGGCATAGGGGATAGGAGGGGCTTAGCAACCCTAGGCCAGTACACTGTCACAGCTCAGCCCACCCGGCCCCGAAACGCGCGCTCACCCTGGTCCCAGTAGAGGTTAGCATTAGAAACTGCCTGACAAACTCAGGGCCCCTCAGCCTTCCCGGAGGCACTCCCGACCCCGACAGGCCTGGAAATGACACAATCAGCGTTGCAAACCTGTTGCCTCCGGGGCTATGCCCAAGGCCAGGACACCAGAGGAAGTAAAACTAGAGGGGACTGCGAGTACCATGTCACCCACAGGCTCTTCCAGGGGCCCAGGGATGGCAGGCTACCCACCCCTCTGTCTCCCAACGTTCACCCTGACTTGAGTGGTTAAGTCCAGATTACAGACTCACCTTCCCAGACGCACCTGCTAGGTCCCATAGCAAGTCTGATTGGCCCCCGACCCTCTAGACCTGGATGTGACTCGTCACCCTGCCGCCCCTGAGTTTGCAGTGAAGTCCTTCAGCCTGATTCAGGAGATAACTGCACCACCAGTGACGTGAGCCTCGCACGGCAGGCTGACACAGGCCGCCCACGTCTGAAACCACTAGCGCAGAGCAGAGCGGCCATCCCAAGTGAGGCCGGGCGACTGTCAGCACTGATCAGAAACCCCACCTTTCATTCCCCATGAACTGAAGGTCGCCAAACATGGACTTTGGTGATTCGCCCACTGATAGGTGGATGAGTGTCCACTGTGTTCCTCTCAAGAAACACCTCTGAGATGCATGAAACTAGCCCCAGGAGGTGAGGACCTTGCCCAGGAGCAGAGTGGCAGGTCTCACCTTCTAGGCTTTTCCGAGAGGCGTAGGCTCCCTTGCCGCCAGCTGAGGCCGTCGGTGAGCACTGGGATGGAGAGGGTGTTAAACATAAAAGTTATGCAGTCTCAGTTAAAGGCAAACAAACAATACAAAAGGAAATAAAAAATGGGAGTCCCCTTTGATCTCACCACAGAGGTAGCCCCTGTAGGAAGCAAGTCCCTCCAGACAAGGTCTGAGCTCAACACATGCACACTTTTGATGGCCTCATACCTTGCTGTGAGCTTTGCAGCCTCCTTGTTCCTTCGGCTACTTTCAAAATTGTTCGAGGGCAGCGCATAGAAACCTACTTCACGCCTTTACTGGTAGTACACGCCACTTTAATAATCCTACTGATATAGGACTTAATAATAATATAATTTAATAATCTTACTGATGTACATTTGGATTGTTGCCTACAGATACTGTTAAAATTTTTTTGAGATATAACTGACCTAAACATTATATTCATCTTAGGTGCATCTATGCTATTTTTAATGAAGGCATGGCTCTTTAATCACCAACGTGAGTACTGTACAAAAAACTGCCAGGGGTGGACTTGTGGGGTTTAGGGCTTACCATTGTAAAATACTGACAGATACTGCCAAGTAGCCCTCCAAAAATGTACCAACTTCTACTCCTGGCAGATGTGTGAGCATGCCTGCAGCCCTCACCAACTGTGTGCACTATCAGTCTTTTAAATCTTTGCCAATCTGATAGGCAGAGATATTTCAGTGTGGCCTTAATTTGCACTTCCTTGATTATTAGCGAAGATAAGCATCTTTTCATGTACTTATTGGCTGTTTGTTCTTGGGGGCACCAAATAAGGTCACACTTCAGTGTGGCTCTGTGCCTGTGTTTATATGTGCCTGTGCACGTGTGTATTCTATGCATCAAAACATCTCGGGCCAGGTCTGGATATCCCAGAGCTGCAGCTCTCTGGAGTCTGAGAACACCAGGACCCACAGAGAGATGAATCAAAGGCTCAAGCCCATAAAACAATGGGAATAACCAGGGACATAATCATACTTCTTTCTACATTTAAATTTCAATCAGCCTGGTCCCTATCTGACCTATTACAAGCACATAATTTTATACTTACTGCAGCCATCCCTTCTCTAGTATCCTTATCAAGAGAGCTTCCTTCTCTCTGTCAGGCTCTCCCCACCTTGCTGAAGCTGGAACCAGCGGACCACACCACCCACACCATGACCATACAAGGAGAAACCACAAAGGCCTCAAAGGAAGGAAATCACGGAAAGAAAAAAGCCAGCGACAGGAGTCCCCAAATCGACATCCAAACTCTACCAAACTCTCTGGATGAACTACATGTATGCAGGCCAATTTCAAGCGGCCCAACTGAGGTTAAACAACCTGAACCAAGATTTCAGCTGCTGCCCACATCAGAGTTTATAGCCTGCTTTAAAAAAACAAAAACAAAACCCAACACTCTCCAGAGAAACATAACAAAATCCACAGCCTTTACAACATATATCATTCAGAATTTCCAAGATAAATCCAAAGCTATGAGATGAATGAAAAAATGGAAATATGTAACTCATACTGAAAGGGAACGACAACTGATAGAGACTGACTCTCAAAACTAAGTTTTTGGAAATAGCACAGGCTTTAAAGGGGCTACTCTTAACTGTGCTCAAAGGTATCAAGGAAAATATGTTCCCAATGAATAGGAAATCTCAGTGGAGAAATGGAAACTATAAAAAAGAACCAAAAGTAAAGTACGTAAGTGAAAAATGCACTATCTTAAATAAAAGTTAAACTCATAATAGTGCAGAAAAGAAGATGAAGCATTAACCATAAGGAATCCCAGAAAGCGAGGCAACTGAGATTTGACTGGATTGACTGAGAAAGCCACAGTCTAAAAAACAGAGGAGTACTGTGAAAGTCAGCACAGTGCCCTCCCCAGGTGATGAGAGGAAACTGGGAGAATCCTGGACAGTTAATGGGATTCATCAGAATCCTAAACATGGAAGAGCCAAGCAGGTCAGCTCATTCCCCAAACCTGCTCTTGTGTCAGGCAGACACTTAGATGCAGGAAGGCCAGTGCCCCTTTGCCCAGAAAGTGTTCCGATGGGATAACCTGATACCCAACCCCTCTCCCACAATAAATGGAGATAAATAGAAAAACAACATCCATAGACGGAGGGAAAACCTCAGACACAAAGACGATACAATCAGGGTCGCCAAACACCTGTTGAAAACCAGCACCATGAAAGAAAGGCACAACAACAAACACTCTGTCAGCCAGACACATCACAAGGGTGTCACATATCAAGATACGTAAATCCTCACAACCCCGAGGTAGACCAGAGGTTAGCAAACTACGGCCCACAGGCCAAATCCACCCCATCTCTTAAAAAAAAAAGTGAGCTAAAAATAGTTTACACATCTTTAGTGGTTGGGGGAAAAAGTTTAAACATGACACAAGAAAATATTATGGAATTCCAATCCCAGTGTCCAGTTTCA